TATATATATATATATATATATATATATATATATATATATATATATATATATATATGTCGTACCTAGTAGCCAGAACTCACTTCTCAGCCTACTATTCAAGGCCCGATTTGCCTAATAAGCCAAGTTTTCCTGAATTAATATATTTACTATAATTTTTTTCTTATGAAATGATAAAGCAACCCTTTTCTCTATGTATGAGGTCAATTTTTTTTATTGGAGTTAAAATTAACGTAGATATATGACCGAACCTAACCAACCCTACCTAACCTAACCTAACCTATATTTATAGGTAAGGTTAGGTTAGGTAGCCAAAAAAAGCTAGGTTAGGTTAGGTTAGGTAGGTTAGGTAGACGAAAAAACATTAATTCATGAAAACTTGGCTTATTAGGCAAATCGGGCCTTGAATAGTAGGCTGAGAAGTGCGTTCTGGCTATTAGGTACGACATATATATATATATATATATTAAATTGTTAAAGATAATAGACAACATACATATATATATATATATATATATATATATATATATATATATATATATATATATATATATATATATATATACATATATATATATATATATATATATATATATATATATATATATATATTTGAAGCTGCTCAAATAGCCTCGGCTATCACTTCCTTTTGACGGCCGTGATGGTCAAGCGGATTAAGGCGCCCTGTAGTTACCAGTTGCGTTGCTTCTGGGAGTATGGGTTCGAGTCACTTCTGGGGTGTGAGTTTTCATTCGCATATAGTCCTGGGGACCATTCAGGCTTGTTCGCATTTGTGTTCCTCACGTGTGCCCCAAAGAATGAGGTGATTTGGTGAAATGCTATGCCCAAGATTACCATCCGAGTTGCCGTCGGGGAAGTTGCTCAAATAGCCTCGGCTATCACTTCCTTTTGACGGCCGTGATGGTCAAGCGGATTAAGGCGCCCTGTAGTTACCAGTTGCGTTGCTTCTGGGAGTATGGGTTCGAGTCACTTCTGGGGTGTGAGTTTTCATTCGCATATAGTCCTGGGGACCATTCAGGCTTGTTCGCATATATATATATATATATATATATATATATATATATATATATATATATATATATATATATATATATATATAATCTCTACTTCTCTGGGGGTCATCCCCTTAATACCTTACAAATGAGAACACGTATTATACAGAACAGTCCAATCCCTTGACTCAGCATTACCCGAAAGTAAAACCATTCCAAACCACCCAATTATCGTTTTGATCCTCTTGTTACGTCAAAGTAAATGGTTGGATCCACACACAGCTTCGTGGCCCCCCTGACTCTGAACCCACAGAGGCAGCAGATGACGTTCCTCGGAGTGGAGGATATAAGTAGGGGGAAATTCCGGATTAGGAATAGAGATGAAAGTCACGTGAGAATGAGTGGGCGAGTGGAGAATTGTGGCAGTTAGTGACGTGATACTTAGTAGAAGTGTGGAGGATAGAGATAGATAGTGATGTGAGGAATAGTGGACGTGTGAAGGATAGTGATGAATAGTGATGTGGGACTAGGATACAGCATGAGGTGAAGTAATTAATAGATGGACACTGTTTTGTTCTGATGAAATTTTGAGAAGAGAGTTAGGGCCTTAGAAGCATGGCGAGAGGTTGTGTGAATATATGGTTTGTGGTAGAAGGAAGTTAGTGGATGATAGAGGCAGTGGATGTAGATGAGAGGTAAGGCGATTACTGTCTTGGTAAAGCGATGGAAGATAGTCATTCAGGATTGTGTTAACTTCGACGAAAACTCTCATCCCTCTTGTATGTCTGCTTCAAAGTAAGCAGACATAAATAACCACAAATAATCTAACCATCTCTAGCCATACTAAAACATGTAACTCTGTCTCTGACACTGAAATACATTACCATCTCACACACCCTCAATGTACGAGCACCATGCACCACTAATTGAAGTCTTGTCCATGCAACCACACTCTCCAGGATACAATTTTTAGAGTGTTGTCTTGCTAATTGCTTGCTTGCTGAAAAGCTCACCCCTTCCCAGGGATGGTTATGGAGGTCCCTTGTAGATCTCTAATCACGTTATCATCAGCCAGTGTGTGAAGTGAGGAAGGGAGGCTGTTCGTCAGTGGCAGGCAGGGGAGGGAGCGTGGAAATAGGTGCGAAAGGGAGACATAACAGGATTAGGAGAAAATTTGGAATATTTCAAAAGGATAAAAAAAGAGTGAGAAATTGGGAAAGTGGAAAAGGTAGGAAGATGTAACAGTGATTCGGTTTGATTTGCATTACTTGTTAAAAGAAAATGAAATACTAACTACTCAAGATAATTATTCATAACCATCTTATTTCCAGAAATGCACAAATGATCGAGCTCTTTTCCATATCCCTATGACTACCTCCCGTGATGAATCTCGTTTCTCAGTGTCACTCCAGCATTTACCTCAAATGCTTTTAACACAGGATTAAAACTCTTGGTTACGCCCCATTTTCAGCCACTAGGTTATCCATGCTTCTTCTCCTGGAAAACACATCTGGATCCATCGTCTCTTCTGTCCTTGGAACAGGACTTCGTCTTAATATGGATACAGAAAGTCACAAAATAATCGTTTCACCGTTGTCTTTACATGCTTCCTCCTCCTCCTCCTCTGTGTTTTCATCCGAAAGCATAGCCAAAGAGTGTACTGGTTTAACCTCAACAGCAGACTGACAGCCACTGACCATGATATTTAGTGAGCCAGACAGCATTCTAATTAGCTAGCTAACTAGTGAGTAGAATAGCTCTCCTAGTCCTCTATCCAGTCAGCGAGATAACCAACGAGTTAGACAGTAAGTTAGAGAGGTTAGACAGTTATCCAAACCGCCACAGAGCTTAAACAACCAGCATGAAAGCTAACCAGACAGAGAGCGTTCCAATTATCTAAATATTAAGTGTAGCTCACCCCGACAGCTCTTGGAACAAGCCTCCAGCTAAATAGACACCTATCCAACTAGATAACTACAGCAAATAAGCCACCCAGATAAAGCTAAATTAGTTTTAGCTTTAAAGTCAGCTAAATTAGTTTTCAAGAAAAACGGAGACAGCAGTCAACTATCGGTCACTGTTCAAATAGAGAGATAACAGGTCACAATTAAGGCCTGTTAAGTGTGGTCTTTTTAGACCATGGATTTTTAATGGTCTAGAAATCCTCCTTTAGGTGTCTCTAGAGCCGCTTAACACAAACTTCTCACTCTTTTCCCTTTCCATCACTTTCCCTTTCCATCACTTTCCCTCTACTCTCCTTCCTTTTCTCCCCTCACTAGCACCTTACACCTACCAAGGCACCTAAATTACCTCATTTGCATCACTGGAGACGCTATATTCCAGCTGAGAAGGGGTCGTGGTTTCTCTGTAACGCGAGGTAAACTGATAACGCTCGCAGATACTCGGACTGTTAGGGTACTGTTTATATACGAATGCCTTTGTGTTATATTTTGGTATTCTGAAGCCAAATTCTAATTTTACAAATGTTTCTTCAAACACACACACACACACATACACACACACACACACACACACACACACACACACACACACACACACACACACACACACACACACACACAAATAGGTGAGTACACACACACACACTCCCACATGCACATACACAAACACGCCCATTTTTCCCCAGGGCGGGACCCAAGAGCCGAAGTTCACCCTCTGCAAGTACAACTAGGTAAATACAACTAAGTGAGTACACGTATTTACCGTCGAGGGAAAAGGGACACATTAGGGGTGACATGATCCCCACTTACAAAATTCTCCTGAAAAAGGTAGGCTAGACATGGACCAATTATTTAACATGGGTGGTACATGTATAAGGGGAATACATGTTTAAAGTATAAACTAGAATAAGCTTCAGACACATTACAAGTAATGTTTTCCAATAGTAATGAACGAAGAAAAAGCGCATTTGAAGTTAAGTAGTTGATGTAGAATTCATACACAGCTTCACATGTAGATAAAATAGTTCCCGGTAGAATCAGGAAACTGCATTTCAGTCGATTTAACGTTGAGAGTCAGGACCAAAGAGGTAAATCTCTCCTCTCCCGTTCCCCCTTCAAATACACCCAAGTTAGTGCAAAAATGTAACTGAGCATACACACATGTCGTGTATTTTAGCGTAGTGTATAAGGACCGTTTTGTCAAAGAGACGGAGTAAATATTGATTTTGATTTTTATCTCTTTGATTCTCAGTCTGCTATAAACCTAAGAAATATTTGTTTATTGAAAACATAAAATACAATGTATTATGTTCATAATATTGCCATTAAGAAACATATTTTTGTCAAGAAAGCTAGATTGTTTTTAAAGATTGTTCAGATAGTTCTTGTTGAAATGAAAACGTTTCTTTAATATTTTTGGACTGTTTTTTTTATATATGTATATACATGGTAAATTTTCATTAAATTGGTTTGTAAAGGAACTTTGACTTGTTTCGCATCTCCGGATATGTTAATTCAACATAACAATTTAATTTATTAATATATTAGTTTCATATTGATTTATTAGAGTAGAATATTGAAAAAAACTCAGAGCGTCAAGACATTTTGTAACTTTTTTAAAGGTGTCAGATCATAATCCAACTTTCATCAGGAAATTATACTATAAAGCAGCATTTAATTCAACTAAAAATTCAGATATTTCAAATGTATATAAATACGTAAACATCCAGCAAAGAGAGTTAAGAATAAAAATCTCTCTCCCTCTCTCTCCTCTCTCTCTCTCTCTCTCTCTCTCTCTCTCTCTCTCTCTCTCTCTCTCTCTCTCTCTCTCTCTCTCTCTCTCTCTCTCTCTCTCTCTCTCTCTCCGTCCTCCCCCCAGTCCTTTCTTCTTCTTCTTCCAGAGTAATCAAGTATATTACTATATTTGGCGGTGTACCCAAGAGCCAGAAGTTACTAGAGCACACAAACATCCCGAAATTTATGAGGAAGGACTTGGAGAAACTCTCTTGTCATCTTCATGGTCTTCGCCATGGTCTTCTTCGTGGTCTTCTTCGTGGTCTTCGTGGTCTTCGCCATGGTCTTCGCCATGGCTTATGTTCGAGTAGTTGAACACTGGAATTGTATTTTTTTTGTTAAGCGGAATTAAATTAATTAAATATATTGGGAATGAAAATAAAACAAGTATTGGCATAATTAATTATTAATTATTTCATTGTAATCGTTGCAATGATTAACACTAATAATAATAATAATAATATTATTATTATTATTATTATTATTATTATTATTATTATTATTATTATTATTATTATTATTTGAATTTTTACTATTAGTAATAATAAAATTAGTGTTAGTATTTAAAATATTTATTCTTATTCATATATATATTATGTCACTATTAATACTGTAAATCAGCACTAGTTACAGTAATGGTATATTTATATTAACTTTCGTCATTATTCTTACTAGAGGTAAATTTTATATACTAAAAATGGTCCACAGATGACAAGAGTTAGGCACGTTTGGAAAGTTATTAAGATATGTGAAGTTTGGACCAGATTTAAAGATGTTATCTCATATTTAAGAAAGTTTGTGATAGTAACTTGTAGTTTAGATTATACATTCGTTGTCCTGATTTGTTAATAATTACTTCGGTTGTAAGAATAACGAATCATATTTCATGAACAGTTGTCTGGTTTTTATTTATGTAGTTTGGGTACATACAAATAACCACATATTGGTTAATTGGTCTTCTGTTGTTCCATTTATCTCTATGTTCTTATGTATGAAAAATCTGGATTTTAGGCTTACTAATAATATGGTTACGTATGTTGATATTCTGAGATTTTTGTTTTCTCTTTGTGAATTCATACAAATGTGTCGATGTTCATGCATTTTCCTTGGTATTGTACATTAAGTGTTGAAATATAATGTAAGTATTTTCTCTTTATTGTTTCAACTCTGTTTCTAATTCCTAACTCTATCTCTTTCGTTCTCTTTCATTCTCTCTCTCTCTCTCTCTCTCTCTCTCTCTCTCTCTCTCTCTCTCTCTCTCTCTCTCTCTCTCTCTCTCTCTCTCTCTCTCTCTCTCTCTCTCTCTCTGTCTCTCTCTCTCTCTGTCTCTCTGTCTCTCTCTCTCTGTCTCTCTCTCTCTCTCTCTCTCTCTCTCTCTCTCTCTCTCTCTCTCTCTCTCTCTCTCTCTCTCTCTCTCTCTCTCTCTCTCTCTCTATCTATCTATCTCCTATTTTGTTTCTTTCTTCATTTAAAAGGTAATTAATTCATTCCATCTCATTATAAATATGCATTTTTGAGCACCTGCAAAACGTACATATGCAAGTTTCGTAGATGGTAAAAAACTATGCTTGGTTTCAGTTGCTAAATATCAAAATTGAACTACGATTATTGTTCTAATGACATCAATGGCCGAGGAATCCAAATTAAATGATGCTTTATGGGACCCAATACATGTTCTAAGAGTTGTAATGCATGTTACCAGGATCCTACTACATACTGTAGGTATTCGCTGCATATTTAGGTGCTTTCTGTTTGCTCCTAGTGGCCAATGAGCAACAGCAAGCTAGTTCATGCCTCTAGAAGAGAGTTGGATCCTCTCAGACCAGCCCTACAAACACTTCAAAAGAGCAATGCAAATTCCAATAATATTTTAATATGCCTTTATAAACAAACAACACTTTCTTAGAAATCAACCATGCGTTCTTAAAACCCCCTCAAGGCGTTCCCACGGTCCTGGAGCTGAACGAGAAAGAGGGAAGCGTGGATGGGCTGGGGGAGGAGGACGGGCGAGGCCGACGAATGCAGCATCACGCTTCAATTAGGCAGTAACAAACTCGAGTACAGAGTCAAGTGGATCTCGTCTCCGGCAGAGTGGCTGGAAGGAGCTGGGAGTTCATGTTCAGCGATAATACACTAACTGGCACGAGATGGACGACCTTGGGGAGGAAGGAAATGGGACGCTGAAAGGGGGGGTTCCAGATGTTCCGAAAGTAAGGCTAGTGTCATGGAAAAGTGGGAAAGGGAGTATTAGTGCCATAGGGAAATGAAAGAGGAGGAAAATACCATGACGAAGAAGCAGTTGCAAGTGCAGACTGGACCAGACTGGACCTTAATTTACTCATATGCAGGGAAGATAACCTAATCCACTTCAGTTGCACACAACTAAACATTGAGTGTATTTAGTATCTCTATGAAGACAATAATTTATAAATATGTCTAGTAATGTTCCATGGAGACACTATGGTCTCGGCTTCTGAGAGCATCAGTTACTGACCGTTGTTCCAGAGTCCAATCCACACACTAGAAAATGAAGGGACAACGACGTTTCGGTCCGTCCTGGACCATTCTCAAGTCGATTGTGTGAATGGTCCAGGACGGACCACACAATCGACTTGAGAATGATCCAAGACGGACCGGCACGTCGTCGTCCCTTCATTTTCTAGTGTGTGGCTAGGTCAACATACGTCAGCTACGTTATTGTGACTCCTCGCCTGCTTCCAGTGTCCAGATAAGTCAGTCTGTCCTTAGCAACCTTCTGTCCCCTAATGTTACCCATTTAATATTAACCCACACATGATAGCTCTATCTTTGGGTCCTGGTAATTATGATGCTAGTTCATTAAGCCATTATCATTTTGACATTTGAACCGGCAAGAATCTTCTTGCCCAGGGACACATAAATCTATAATTGCTTTCTGACATTTGTTTTCTATTAAATACTGAATGAGAATATTAGATAACGTATTAATTGTGTAATAGACTGGTATGTCTCCATTGGAAGAAGAATTCCAGGAGAAATGGAGGAGGTTGAAATGGAGAAGATATGTGTTTTGAAAGGGTTGGGGTAGAGATGGGAAAATGAAGGAGAAAGGGGTAAATGAGTTAGGGAGATGAAGGCGTGGACAGATGAATGGGGAAGGAAGGGTGAAGATAATGAGACAGCTTCTTTATTTTCTCCTCAAGTCTCTGAAAATTTAAATATTTTAGAATTGTGGAGTTGTCTGCGCTTTTTAATATACTGTATAGCATAAAGGGATGGCCTCGTAGCCTGGTGGATAGCGCGCAGGACTCGTAATTCTGTGGCGCGGGTTCGATTCCCGCACGAGGCAGAAACAAATGGGCAAAGTTTCTTTCACCCTGAATGCCCCTGTTACCTAGCAGTAAATAGGTACCTGGGAGTTAGTCAGCTGTCACGGGCTGCTTCCTGGGGGTGGAGGCCTGGTCGAGGACCGGGCCGCGGGGACACTAAAGCCCCGAAATCATCTCAAGATAACCTCAAGATGTATATTAAGCCGGAGTTGGGTAATATTAACCCAGAGTTGAGTAACATTAACCCAAAGATGAGTAACAGTAACCTAGAGATGAGTAACAGTAACCCAAGAATGAAGTAACATTAACATTAACCAAGAATGAAGTAACATTAACCTGCGGTTTGGATGAGTAAATATGTGTTCTGATTATTCCTGTATCGTTGTGTTTTTTTTATACAAAAAATATCCGCTTGACGATAAATAATTAAGTTAATCAATAATTTAGTTTTCCTTCGGAACAGCAAACACGCTGTTTTTTGTCAACAAATACACTTTTCTGCACAAATTTATATATTACAACATGTCCTTTCATGCTCATATTGCAACATATAACAAATATATTAGTATTGTCAATAATTATCTAGACGACTCTGAACCTTTTGCTGTAGCTACAACTAAGAAAGATACCTTTTAAATAGGATTTTTGAAAAGTGGAACAAGTAATACTCGTTGTTAAAAACAAAAGGACTTTTAAGGTCCCATCTTTTTCCCAAATAGAACTTTTTTCAACAGATTTCATAAAATATTGACCTTTTGAAGCAGGCTGTCTTACAACCACTACTTTCGAAACCATCATATTTGTCAGTAGATCTTTAATAACAAAGTTTTAGCCAAAATTTAAAAAAAAAAATAAAAAATTCTCCAGCAAATATGACATCAGAGGATTATTATGTAACCTTGGTTCACCGGCTACAATGAATCGCAAAAATTGCGGTAATTTACACGCATGAAATCTTTCACTCAATACTTCATGTATTATTCAGTATCGCTTTCTGTACTCTGGTCCGTTGTTGACTCTCGCTAGTGAATTTATATTGATGTTTTGGGTATTGGGAGATCAGAGTTGATCGGCTGCAGGAACGGGGCTCACAACACCCAAGTTTGTGTCTGCAACTGTATCTGTACTTGTAACCTCATCTGTAACTACTATCCATGTATGTAACAGTATTTATACAGTTAATTGTATCTGTGTAGCAAGCTAATTCTATTCAGATAACTGTATTTTTAATACAGATATTTGTCTGTATAACCTCACCTGTAAAAAGGATCAGTACAGTAAACTGCACCTGCAGAGGCCAATAATCATATGAACAAATCCACAAGGGCCGCGACGAGGATTCGAACCTGCGTCCGGGAGCATCCCAGACACTGTCTTAATCGACTGAGCTACGACAGGGTAAAAAGAGTTGAAACCGAAGTTCTACTGTACATATACAGTTCATTGTACCTTGCTATGTAATTGCATCAATTCAGATAAATGTTCGTATACAGGAAACTGTATGTGTACTGGTAAATGTATACATACAGACACCTGCCTTTATAAAGGCAACGAAACCTTGGACAAGAAACCTCACCTACAACTCTACTTGCAAATAGTTCTTTGGTATTTATTCTTGTATCTGTATATTTTACAGGTAACTATTCCTTTATCTCTATTTTCAAGTACAGATTAATACACATGTACTTTGTAACTAACTATACCTTGTAATGAACTATTTTATTCCTTGTAATTAACTACTATATACCTTGTAACTATTCCTTGTAACTAATTGTAGCTTCATCTGTATTTGTAACTAAACTAACAATAACATTTTCTGTTCCTGTAATTGTAACAAGCTGTGACTTTAAATGTTACAATGAACGCCAACAAAATAAACAAATTATCCCCCGCCATTCCCTCTCTCTTGCTTTTCGCCAAACCACTCAGGGTGGTCGGTAGAGCGACGGTCTCGCTTCATGCAGGTCGGCGTTCAATCCCCGAGCATCCAAGTGGTTGGGCACCAATCCTTCCCCCCCTGTCCCTATAATCCCATTCAAAATACCTTATCCAAATCCCTTCCATGTGCAATATAGTCGTAAACGCTCATCTCTTTCCCTTCTCTTTCCCTTCTCTTTCTTCTCATTCCTCTCCCCGTCTTCTCTCCTCTATTCAACCTCATCGCCTTCTCTCTTCCCAATTCTACTCTTCAGAAACCACCCTCTCCCCATCTCCTCCCTCCCTCTTTCTCCACCCACTCTCCCTTTTCCACAATTCCCGTAACACGACCCTAGCTCTACATGCTCTAAATGTGTCATTTTAAGAATGTTGGAAATCTGGCTGAATTTTAGAGCGCGCGTTAATGGCACATTTTGGCTGTAGGAGGGCAGGTGTAATGTATCAGGGCACTCTCTCCGTGGTGTAGAGGGGCCCTCCTTGCATTCCTGGCCCTTCCGTGCTTGTATTATTTACACAGATGCTGCTGCTGCTGCTGCTGCTACTGCTGCTATTGCTGCTGCTGCTACTGCTGCTGTTACTGCTGCTGCTACTGCTGCTGCTGCTGCTGTTACTGCTGCTGCTACTGCTGCTACTGCTGCTGCTACTGCTGCTGCTGCTACTGCTGTTGCTACTGCTGCTGCTGCTGCTGCTACTGCTGCTGCTGCTGCTACTGCTGTTGCAACTGCTGCTGCTGCTGCTGCTACTGCTGTTGCTACTGCTGCTGCTGCTGCTGCTGCTGCTACTGCTGCTGCTGCTGCTGCTGCTGCTACTGCTGCTACTGCTGCTGCTACTGCTGCTACTGCTGCTGCTGCTGCTACTGCTGCTGCTGCTGCTGCTGCTGCCTCTCGGAATTACACAACTCTTTGAAGGAGAGAATGTGTGTATTGGGGGAAAGGAGGGGAAGAACGAATTTTGTTTATTTTACTCTTTCTGCGCGTATATAAATAATAAATAAAAACATGATTGATTTCCAAATTGTTGCATTTTGAACGGAGCAGACCAAAGGCCAGGGTTCAGTTAGGACACACACACACATTAGTGACACGAAGGAGATCTTGTGGAATGGTTGATCAATAAAATATAAATATTCAGTAGAAATCAGTAAAGTGTTTCCTCTCGATTGCGAATCTACTTTTTTTTTTACTACAAGGTCAACATAACTAAATAAATCACTTTCTAGGAATCGATCTAGGAGTCTCTGCCACAGCGTGACAGGCTGGAGTGCTGGAGTGTGGGTTTAGCTGAACACTCAAGCGGTAGCTAGTTGGTCAAACCGCATCTATATTCCATTTACACTCACATAGCGTTCGGGACTCGCAGTCGACGGGCCCGGGTTCGATTCTTGGCCGAGACAGAACAAAAAAAAAGAGGCAGAGTTTTTTCCTCTGATGCCTCAGTCCACCTGGAAGTTAATAGGTACGTGGAATTAATAGGTAATAGGTATAATAGGGCGGCTATTGCGGGCTGCATGCTAGAGGGATGTGTGTGTGTGTGTGTATGTACTTACATGGTTGTACTCACCTAGTTTAGTGTGTGTGTGTGTGTCTGTGTGTTTGTGTGTGTGTGTGTATGTGTGTGTGTGTGTGAAAGAGAACAATGTCTAGCAGACATGATAGAGAAATTTATGTCGAGAGCCATTGCATGAGACAACTAACGGTTAGAAAGACGGGGTCCAAGAGCTAATAGCTCGATGCTACAGGCACAAACAAATAATACAAATAGTAAACGCACAACACAAAACAGAAGCTAGTGTAAGATTCTCGGAGATTTCTAAACAATCTACAGAATTGGCACGAGAAATGGCAATTAGAGTTCAACACCGATAAGTGTAAGGTAATGGAAATGGAAACGGGACTCAAAAGCCCCGAACGACGGTACACAACGAAGATAAACAACCTTTAACAACTACAGAAACAATCTGAGAATGGACATAACATCAAGCCTAACTCCGGAGGCACATGTAAATAGGTTATCATCAACCAGCCCGTTTATCCAGTTTCCACAACAGACATAAAATGGCTGGCTGTGTCTAGAAGGCTCGAGCCTTACCTAACCTAACCTAACCTAACCTAACCTAATCTGAAGGAAAAACACTATGAGGAGAATGCTTGAAGCCTGTATTACTATACAGCCAATGGAAGAAATACGAGAATTGGTTTTATAGGGGAATTTTATAGGTTTCCTTATAAAGAATAGAAGAATCTTATTGAATAAGTTTCCTTATTTCCTTAAAGGTAGGAATCATGTGCAGCTACTTGGACCATCAGAAATCGAGCGTCGACCTGTATCAAGTGAGGCCGTCGAAGTACCGACCAGGCAAATTGACTGAAGAATCATTATGTAATGCGAACTTATTAGCAGGCGCCTGCTACTAAGGAAAGGACACCAGTAATTACTACCATGGTTATTGATAGAGGTAAACACGTTTATTCCTCTTCTAATCCAAAGATTCCCTAAGTTTCCAAATTATTTTTGTGTGTGTATAGATCCATGAAGGAGAAGGAGTCCTATTTGGTTCCTAAGTCGTCTGATGAAAGAGCTCTGAATCCGTCGAGCTTAGGAAGCTACTGCTGTTTGAATGAGATTTAAGTCCCTTTTCCGTCTCCTCCTCCCTCCCATCCCCTCCCTCCGTACCAGGTGATACAGCCCGCTTTCTGTCAGAGAGAAGAGATTGCGTTCTAATCCTCAGAGACGGAATGGGATTCTTTCTGTTCCGATTTGAGAATAAGCTCTGTGAGGGATCGGCTATATGTCTTGAGTCCCCATGAGAGCCCATCTTTGCTTTTACTCTTTATTTATTATGATAACTGCAGGCTGAGTTATGCTTCCACTCGCAGGTATGATAACAGGAGGAGAAACTGTTAATCGGGAAGTGAATTTTTATATATTAACTCTATACTAATAGCAGGATTTTTTGGTATATTCGTATCAGGAAACAGTTATTTGTGTAAATGTAGAACGATGAATTACTTTGTCACCTACATCTGTAGAACAGAAGTCATGTCTGTGTAGCACAATTGGAGTCAGACATTGTGTAGCAAAGTTGTAGTCATATCTCTTTAGCCAAATAAAATTCAAATCACTTTACCACAGTAAAAGACAAAGGGATTCATACTAATGAATTAAATAGATGAAAAAATTTTTGAATCGCTTCCAGTAAAGTGTTCGGATTAATCATTTGTTTTGAAATTTTCTGTTCTTGGTCGACAAATAGACAATTACTACTAAATGGGAAGAACTAAAAGTTAGTGTGCCTGTACTATTGTGTGTCAGTTAAAACCATAATTCAGGACTTATTACCCAGTGGTTCACTCACAATAGAAGTTCGCTTTCACTATAATATTTCTTGAATTGCATTACTAGAATGTAACCGCAACTCTGACCGGTTGCGAGATAAACTACCAATACTGGGAGGGACTTTAAGTGAACGTCTATGAAAGTACCAATCATGTGAGAGAATCGGAGTGATGGGTTGAGAATCTACCAACACTGTGAGGTGCTCAAGTGATCGGTTGTAAGAGAGTGATTGGTTGTGTCACTAACACAACACCAGCTCTTGATTACAAGTGTTATTAGTTATCCTAGAAAAAAAGTAACTTTCAAAACACATTCCTTTCCCTCCCGTGTTGTAACAACACTGTAGACTCGTCCAAGATTTCTGTTATTAGTCTCGAGAGATCATCGACAATACAATCTAAACTCATTAAATGATTGATGCAGTAACTATTGTTACCTGTACAGTAGTAACAGAGTTAATGAGAGGTGTAGTTGCAGAAGGATTCCGAGCCTTCATTCATGGGTATTTGGACTAATGTAGCAATCTTCTTATTGGCTTATAGATATTATCGAAATTCTAACAGCTATATTTACCTCGTATAGTTGTGAAACTTGGACTGTTGCTTTGACAACGGTGACTATGACTCGGCCTGTAGCAGAGACAACGGTGACTATGACTCGGCCTGTAGCAGAGACAACGGTGACTATGACTCGGCCTGTAGCAGAGACAACGGTGACGATGACTCGGCCTGTAGCAGAGACAACGGTGACTATGACTCGGCCTGTAGCAGAGACAACGGTGACGATGACTCGGCCTGTAGCAGAGACAATGGCGACTATAACTCGGCCTGTGGCAGAGACAACGGTGACGATGACTCGGCCTGTGGCAGAGACAACGGTAACGATGACTCGGCCTGTAGCAGAGACAACGGTGACGATGACTCGGCCTGTAGCAGAGACAACGGTGACGATGACTCGGCCTGTGGCAGAGACAACGGTGACGATGACTCGGCCTGTGGCAGAGACAACGGTGACGATGACTCGGCCTGTGGCAGAGACAACGGTGACGATGACTCGGCCTGTGGCAGAGACAACGGTGACGATGACTCGGCCTGTAGCAGAGACAACGGTGACGATGACTCGGCCTGTAGCAGAGACAATGGCGACTATAACTCGGCCTATGGCAGAGACAACGGTGACGATGACTCGGCCTGTAGCAGAGACAATGGCGACTATAACTCGGCCAGTGGCAGAGACAACGGTGACGATGACTCGGCCTGTGGCAGAGACAACGGTGACGATGACTCGGCCTGTGGCAGAGACACCTATGATGACGAGTCCATTCAGCAGGTGGATATGTTTCTGTCTCCAAGAGGAACTGCAAACATTGTGGGGAAGGAATCGATGTCCTCTCAGAGAATGGTGTGTCAATATTGTGTTGGAATCAGTGTCTTGTGTTAGATGGAGCCGTATGTCAGGGTGGGTTTCTTAATGGACGGAGTCAATATGTATAGGAATCAGTCCATCTCAATGGATCTAGGAAATACCCTTAGGAAATCACTGTCTGGTGGCCAAGGAATTCAATGTTTTGATGAATTCAGTGTCTCGCCCGTAATGTCTCGTCGTGATATATCTCTCAAGGGCCATAGTTAGCTGTGTGTCGTGATCAGAGTGCGTTAGTAGACGCTATTAATGAGTTCTATATCTTAGTCTCTTGATTTTAGTGTCCAGATTTTAGTCTTAAGATTTTAGCCTCTATATTTTAGCCTCTATATTTTAGCCTCTATATTTTAGCCTCTATATTTTAGCCTCTATATTTTAGCCTCTATATTTTAGCCTCTATATTTTAGCCTCTATATTTTAGCCTCTATATTTTAGCCTCTATATTTTAGCCTCTATATTTTAGCCTCTATATAGTTTTGAAATGTTGTTGTGCGTATTCTTGTATGTGTTTTCTTCCCTGATATTTTTTCTAGTGTTTCCTGGTAAGCTTTTTCAGAAGATTCCTGAAGATTTTCAAGACCAGGAGTCTGAGTGTGCCTCGTTCATTCTCCGCCTCGCAGATCCTCACAATTGGCAGCTATTTTACATCATTAGTAGTCGAGATGTGTTTGTGCCTTTGTGTCATCTTCGCCTCCTACGTCTGTTCCCATTGGTTTCTTTTTTGTTGTCATTCACTACACTTTAGCCAAACTGTTGTTCACATGTCTTACCTCATCCTCCTATTATTATTATTTCATCGTAAATGGCTCGTCCCCTAATTTTTATTTATACAAACAATTGCAGTGAATATTACAATACCTTAGCAGGAATTAAAACAAAAATTCACATCTATAAAAAGGAAAAAAGTTACTAAATTTTTATTTGTATTGGACTTTTATTTAACTGAAACCAAAACCTTTGACATACGTTCTCTTCTTTCACAAGAAAAAAACAACCTAACATCTTTGTCTCTATATATATATACTCCCCTCCTACACTCCTGAGCCTCGAGACACATTCCTTAATCAATCAGGAGCTCACACATGAGACTCTCCATCCTTTTTTCTTCATCTGAAGATGCTTGACAAAGGCATGTCTAGACTGCAGCGAGGAATTCCGGAAACTTGAGTGAAGGGTAACTTATAGCCTCTCGTGGAGGGTCCGACTGGCTTACTAGTGGGTAGGTAAGGGTGGGTAGATGAGGGTAGGTAGGTAAGGGTGGGTAGGTGAGGGTGGGTAGGTGAGGGTAGGTAGGTAAGGGTGGGTAGGTGAGGGTGGGTAGGTGAGGGTGGGCTAGTAAGGGTGGGTAGGTAAGGGTGGGTAGATAAGGGTGGGCAGGTAAGGGTGGGTAGGTGAGGGTGGGCTAGTGAGGGTGGGTAGGTAAGGGTGGGTAGATAAGGGTGGGCAGGTAAGGGTGGGTAGGTGAGGGTGGGCTAGTGAGGGTGGGCAGGTAAGGGTGGGTAGGTGAGGGTGGGCTAGTGAGGGTGGGTAGGTAAGGGTAGGTAGATGAGGGTGGGCTAGTGAGGGTGGGTAGGTAAGGGTGGGTAGGTGAGGGTGGGCTAGTGAGGGTGGGTAGGTAAGGGTGGGTAGGTAAGGGTGGGTAGATAAGGGTGGGCAGGTAAGGGTGGGTAGGTGAGGGTGGGCTAGTGAGGGTGGGTAGGTAAGGGTGGGTTGGTGCGGGTGGGCTGGTGAGGGTGGGCGAGTGAGGGTGGACAGACGCCAGACCATAACTCTGGACGGTTGACAGACGAGACCACCAAATGAGGATGGTTGTTGCTTATGGATTCCCGGCAGTGCTAAGGTTGTGAAGTTGATTACAATGATGATTGTCGTGTTACGATGGATACAGTAATGATGATTGTGTATATTGAAGAATTTTTCATTGATGAAGGTAGTGTATAATGATAATAATTATAGTGTTGAAGACTGTGTGAAGTGAAAATGCATAAAATGATAATGGTTGTGTGTAGTTTAAGATTGTTTCATTGATGAAGTTATCAAGTAGTGAAGATGTGGACTCCGTCATCTGATCAACTCGTGGTAACCTCAGTTGTGTATAGAATGTAATATGACAACCTCATTCTTAGTTATTACGGTCTCTATTATTATTATTATTTATACTTTGCTTACACGGATCTGTTATTCGTTTCAATATGTGTGATCCATGCCTTTACACACGAGTACATACGTATATATCACAGTCATTAAACTCTTATAACTCGACATTTAATGTCTATCACAGTCAAAATCGCCAGATATAACATAAAGGTTATATAATACTGTTGAAACTCTACTTGGTGAAAATGAGGGAAAAACAGAAAGCTTTGGAAAACATTTTCTCTCTCTCTGCTATGCAAATACGCTTGGGCTCACTGAGTGGCATGACAGGAACAGGTAATGTATTGGAACTCGTAATTTTACAGTAAACCAACATTGGCGGAAACAGCCATCAAGTGTATTGACAGCCCGAGCGTCAACATGCATGTTGTAGTGTGCTTAAGAGGAGGTGGGGAGATGGGTAGGGGCTAGCAGTGTGGAGAAATGGGTGGAGGATGTTTCAATGGGTAGAATGGGTAGATAGGATGGTGTGGAAGAATGGGTAGGTTCCCTAAGAGGGTGGGGAAGGATAGGAGTGCGCTGGTGTATGGGGAATGCAGGTCAGTAGCGCGTTTGGAAGGGCTTAGGGAGTGTGGGGGAGAGTAGATACACAAGATAGGAAGAAATGCGTAAGTTTACGGGGGTTGAGATTGATAGAATGTTAATGGAGAGTGAGATGAGTGAGGATGTGGTGGGCTTTCAACACCAGATAGCTTGAATGGGTGAGCTGTGAGTGGAGCTGAGCTATGAGTAGTGAACACAGGGAGAGAGAGAGATGGAAAGATATGGAAAAGTGGTCTTGAAACAGATTTGGAGTATGTGAAGTAGAGGTGTGGGATGAGAGGAGCTGAGTGTAAGTAACAGAGGTCAGCATCAACAGAAACAAGATCAGCATTAATAGCATCAGTGCCATTAAACTTCTGATGATGAATGACTTCAATCACGGTCGTAGTTGCCAGCATTGTAAGACCCCGAATCAGCGTTTAGATGTATGCAAATATTTTGGTATATAGAAAAAATACTTTGGTAGAAGAATAGTTTTTAATCCAATGTTTGATATTTGGTTCAGATGTGGAGAAAGGTCTTGTTGAGAGTAAAAGACTAAACCCACACACACACACACACACACACACACACACACACACACACACACACACACACACACACACACACACACACACACACACACACACACACACAAACACACGCTGATGTGTCATATAAATGTTAGAAAGTTTTCTTTTAGCTTAAGGTAACTGTATAAATGGAATGACCTAAAGAGCAGATTATAGAGGCAAACTCCATTCATAACTTTAAACGCAGATATGATAAAGAATAAGCCAGGAGTCCTTACACTAGACAACCAACGGCTAGAGAAGCTGAGTCCAAGAGCTAGAGCTTGATCCTGCAGGCTCTAATAGGTAAATACACACACACACACACACACACACACACACACACACACACACACACACACACACACACACACTCACACACACAAACACACACTCACACACACACTCACACGATGGAAAATCCAATAAACACTGTTCCACCCAACAGATGAAACAAGAGGCCCCAACTCACCGTCTCCCTCCATCCCCTGGTGAGAGCCAATCACACCACCAGGCGAACTCGACGTCCATTTTTAAAGAGCTACAACTCTGTGGGAATTTCAACTATTGCATCAAGAGTGTCCACAAAAAATGTGGAGGAGAGAACTGGGTCTTGTTTTTTTTTTTTTTTAAGCTTGTTCCCAGTTTATGATTTATTTCAGTGAATAAATAACACAGTTATTTATTCGTGTTTATATTTATTCTTTGTTTTGTAAGTCATTAATTTAGGTTGATATTTAATGGACAAGAGTATGGCAGCAAGGAATGGAAGGGGGAGTTTATATTCTATTTAGAGACCAATATCTCTCTTATGGTCCCATTATTTCTCTCAGTGACCAATATTCCTCTCAGAGATACAGTATTTCTCTCAGTGTCCAATATTCCTCTCAGGGAGGCAATATTCCTCTCAGAGGTGCAGTATTTCTCTCAGGGAATCAATATTCCTTTCAGGGGCTCAGTATTCCTCTTAGTTATGCAATATCTCTCTCAGGTGCTCCATTAATCCTCTCCAGAACCCAATATTATTCTCAGGGACGTAATATTCCTTTCAGGAACGAGATATTCCTCTGTAGAATGCAAGTTTTCTCTCAGGGACTCAATATTTCTCTCATGGACTCAGTATTCCTCTTAGAGACTCAAAATTACTCTTAGGAATGGTGATATTCTAAATCATGAGCAAGTACTGACGATGAGAATTTTACTTGTGATGGATAACAATTGTAAGATTTGCATTAATATTTGCAAATCTGTGCACGTCGCGTTCGGTGCAAGGCATTCCATTCACTGCCGGCAAGCTTTGGAAGACGAAAAAGCTAGTTTGCACTCTCTCATAGTTTTCCTGTCTGTCTACTGCTCATTTATCTCTATTTCATCCCTCCTCTTCAATCCGTCTGCTGGGGGAGTGTTGAGATTGGATGCTAAGAGTGAGAGGAGGTCGAAGGTTACCCATCATGCCTCACTTAACACTAAAGGAACAGCTTCGCTACTTGCTCGTGGAAACGCTGACCCACGCAACCTTTGATGAATATATTATGTGGTCTTTACACAAAAAAATCTTTAAACTAATTAGTAATATTTTGGAGTTATCTTTGATCTTCGTTGGATAAGTGCTCATTAGTGTGAGTTTTTTAAATTAATTTTGTATCGCAGAGATGGAATTTGATTGGTAATAACACAGCTAGTTGTTATTATTATTACATTTATTTGAGTAAGGTTAGAATTATACTTCAGCGGGATATACTACTTAATTATTTTAATTAATAATAC